CAGAGAGACGGAGCATGAGTGGGGGAGGGGTAGAGAGAGAGGGAGACACAGAACTTGAGGCAGGCTCCAGGCTCTGAGCTGTCAGCACAGAGCCCGATGCGGGGCTTGAACCCACGGACTGCGAGATCATGACCTGAGCTGGGAGTGGGATGCTTAACCTACTGAGCCAACCGGGCGCCCCTCATGGTAGGTAATTTTTAAAAAGTTTATATTAAGGGGCGCCTGGGTGGTCCAGTCAGTTGAGGGGCAGACTCTAGGTTTTGTTGGCTCAGGTCATGGTCTGCCCCTCTCTCTCTCCGCCCCCTCTCTCAAAATAAATAAAACTTAAAAAAAAAAAAAGAAAAAAAGATTCTCTAAAAAAAAATTTATGTTAACTCAAGCACAGATAAATTTTGGATGAAAAAAAAATTTTCACACAATTTCCTAGATAAAATAGAAGACTACAGAAATGTTGATCCCTGGAAGAACTGTGTTCTCCCTCCTTTAATATCAGGGGAAGTTTGGAGTAAAGGTCTGAGAAACATTACCGCGTACTCTCAAGGCAAAACGATCCATTGGAAAGCTGTCCTTAACTGAAACTTACACACCCCTTCCCTTCACTAAGCTAGGTGCCTGCTCCAAGCTCCCACGGGCCGCTGTGCTCCGTTCCTCCTGCAGCAACTGTGACACTGGCTTGTTCTCATCTGTTTATGCATGCATCTGTCTCCCCGACTGGACCGTGTTCTCCATGAAGGGCAGGGACCTAACGCGGACCTGGCCCACTGGGGACACTCGGGAGTGTGAGATTCTCTCAGAGACGTAATGAACAAACGGGCATTAGGTACGGAGCACTTTTAGGGGTAAATATACGTGTAAGGGGGAAAAGCCACCTCCGATACAAATTACTCAGTCCTATAAGAAAGAATTGGCTACCACCTAGTAGCAGCGTCAACCTGGATCTGTCACAACCTCTCTGGGGCACCAGCAGGCGTTCGCGGCGCCCCGGGACAAAGCAGGAGGCGCGGCCGGGCTGGGCCGGCCCGGGCCAGGGCGACCCCGGCTCACCTACCTCGGTAGCTATGGATGCGGCGGCCCGTGCCGGGCGGCAGCGTCGGGTACGGCTGCGGCTCGCCGTCGAAGTTGAGCCACACCGGCAGCACGACGCGCGGACTGCGGTTGCAGAAGATGACCTGAGACGGCTCGCAAGAGTTCACTGAGCGTAGCACCGGTCGCGGCTGCCCAGCCTCCATCTCCTCCTCGGCTCCCGGCTCTTCGGGGTCAGACTCTTCCGGGCCAGACTCCTCGGCGCCCGACTCCTCCCCGCCGTACTCTTCAGGGCCCACCTCCTCCGCGTCCACCTCCTCCACACCGGCCTCGGCCTCTTCCAAGTTCCCTGCCTTCCGGGGCATTACCTCCCGGAGCCTAGACAACCCGGGCCTCGCCGCCTCGGGATTTGTGGGGCCGTACGGGGTGGGGCGTGGCGCGCGTGCGTGCGCGTCCCCGCAAGCGTGCGTGCTGTTTCTGCGCGCTTTCGGTCGGTTGTGGAAGATGCTCGCAGAAATGGCCGGCTTGAGACTGTGCGCAAGCGCAGGTGGAACCTCCAGCCACAGGAACCGAGCATTCAGGAGGCAGAGGCTGACGCTGGGCCACCTCGTCCACGGTTTCCTCTGTAAAGTGGATTCTTTTTTCGCACCGATAAGTTTTTGACACAGCATTTCCTTAGCTTCATTTATTCTAAGACCTTCATGGTTTTTGCCATATTCTCCCTACCAAATGCGCTATTATTTATTTAATAATTTTCTCGTTTGTTTTGTCTCCATCTTCGGTCACAAAATTCGAATTTTGTGTAGAAGAATATAATAAAGTCAAAATGTCCGTCTCCTCCTAGTTTCCCCCAGCCACCCATAAAGACTCCGCGGAGACAAGAAGTATTACCAGTTTTTGTGCTTCCTTTAAAAAAAATTTTTTTTTTTAACATTTATTTTTGAGAGAGAGGGAGACAGGATCCGAAGCAGGCTCCAGGCTCCGAGCTGTCAGCACAGAGCCTGATGCGGGGCTCAAACCCACGAACCTTGAGGTGAGATCATGACCTGAGTCTGGCGCTCAATCGACTGAGCCACCCAGGTGCCCCTTTGTGCTTCCTTTTAAAGGTATTCTGTACATATGCAAAGCAGTTGAACAAGTTTAAGAAATTTTGTATTACTACCATCAGTGGAAATTCGCTCTCATTTGCCACGTAAGAGTACAGTGGGACTAAGTTAAATGAAAACAAAACAGTTAAATTTTATCTATAGTCTGTTAAAAGCTCTCAGCCTGCTCTTTCTTGGTTCGACGGGTTAGCCAAGGGTTAGATGTTAAGCACCAAGTATTAGCTGTGAAACCAACTTTGTCCTGGACATAATCAAAAGGATTAACGGAAATTGAAAATGGGATAATATTTGATACTGCAGTCTATGTGCGATTTGAAATTCACATCCACCTGGGTTCTCATTCCAGGTGTAGCTTCAGATCTGTGATGTTGGGCAGAATTCTTTAAATTCTCTGAGACCTTGCTCATTTTTAAAAAGTATGTCCCAGGGGCGCCCGGGTGGCACAGTCATGATCTCAAGGGTTCCTGAGTTTGAGCCCCACATTGGGCTATGCACTGATTGATGGTGCAGAGCCTGCTTGGGATTCTCTCTTCTCTGTGCCCCTCCCCGACTTGTGCTCACTCTCTCTCTCTCTCTAAATAAATAAATTTTATTATATATACATAGTCCCCTAACCAAGTGTTGAGGGGGAAGTGGTGTCTAGTACATAGTAAGCACTCAGAGCAATTCTCAGCAGTTAATATTATAAATTAAACACATTGTCTCAGTCCTGAAAATGTTCACAGGCTACTGGGCAAGCATACAAGACATGCTGTTAGAATATGATAATGATTGTAGAAGAGCAAGGTGTAAAGTCGTTTGCTGGACCTGAAAAATTCAGGCAAGGCTTCCCAGGAGTTTTATCTGGGAAGAACTTTGAAGAATAGAGCTAAAAGTTTTCCCTTCCCATTTATCATCAGACAAATACCCACCTAGGATGTCAGATAAGGGCTCATTGGCAGACTTCCCAATCCAGTTTTCTTCTCATTGGTTTTATATCCTGCCTTTAAGTCCAGGACTCCGACAGTCCTACCACTTACTGAAAATCCATTTGGAGGCCCAAGCCAAAGAGAGACAATATATTTATGCTCATAGACCAACACTATGGCCCTAACATTTAAAAGAAATGGCAGAGGGAGAATGGACAAATAAAAATTTTTTGTTTGGCTATACTCCTGGGCAGCTGTTCTCAACCAAATCTGCAAAAGCAGAAGAGGTTTCAATTTGTGATTTTAGATGTATGATGACCCATTGGAACAACTTCATTCCAGTTTCTTCAATTGCCTGACAAGAAAGACTGATGCAAAATTCTCCACAAACCATACTGGAAAATGGCAACCCTATCAAAATGAGAGGAGGCTTATTTAGAATTTGGAAATGAATAAAAATGCACGGGGCGGGGGGGGCACCTGGGTGGCTCAGTCAGTTGAGTGTTTAACTTCTGCTCAGGTTATGATCTCACAGTTCGTGGGTTTGAGCACCGTTTCAGGTTGTGTGCTGACAGCTCAGAGCCTGGAGCCTGCTTCAGATTCTGTGTCTCCCTCTCTCTCTCTGCCCCTCCCTCACTCATTTCTCTCTCTCAAAATAATAAACATTACAAAATTTAAAAATACAGGGGGAAAAGCTATCAAATTGTATGTATAGTGTGGTGACCTTTATGCACTTATTCCCCCACCCCCATTTTTTAGAATATAGTTTTATTACCTTTGTAATGAAAACGAAATCAGTTCCTTTTTCCCCCAGTCTTGAGATATAATTGACCCAAATCAATTCTTTTTTTTTTTTTTAATACTTTTTATTTTTAAGTAATCTCTACACCCAACATGGGGCTTGAACTCATGACCCCGAGATCGAGTTACATGGTTTTCTGCCACCCCTGGGTGGCTCAGTTAAGCCTCTGACTTCAGCTCAGGCCATGACCTCGCAGTTTGTGAGTTCAAGTCCTGCAATGGGCTCTGTGCTGACAGTTCAGAGCCTGGAGCCTGCTTTGGATTCTGTCTCCCTCTCTCTCTGCCCCTCCCACGCTTGCACTCCATGTCTCTCTCCCTCTCAAAAAACATTTACATATAAATGTTTTATTTTAAAAAATTGGAAGCATGTATAAGGGTGTGCAGACGGTGGTCAGAGGAGTGTGCTGGATTAGAGGTTCATCATCTCCTGCCTTGTTGAAAATGATGGCAAGAGTCCCATCCAAGGAGTCAGGCAAATCTACAAAGGAACACCAGAACCTTGGGTGATTTTGCCATGGAGTTTCCTTGAAAGTACATTATACAAAGTATCCTGATGGCTTCCAGCAGGAAGAGTGGCCAGCAGGGATGACCTCCAGCTATATTGAACATCAACATGGAAACATTTGTGGAGGAAAACCCCAAGGAAAGATAGGACTTCCTGTTAAATTACAATGGTTCAGAGACATCAAAATTTACAAGATTCATTCCAACATACCCTCATTTGTACTTCCAGGTTAGTAAAGTGAAACATACCAGTTTAATAATATTACAGAAATGCCTACATCCGTAAAATGAGAGCAGTTATTTAAACGCAAGGCTTAAGACTGATATTACATCATTGCAAATAATTACAAAGACTATTTAAGAGGAAGGAAAACATGTTTTAGGATATACCAAGGAAAACTAGAGGCTATACTGTTCTTATATTACACTTTCCACTATGCAAAAGCAAACATGAAGAAAGGAATAGAAGAAAATACACCTAAATATTTTAATATAACTGGTTATTTCTCTCCCCTTCTACTTTAATGTCTTTTATAAATTTTCCTTTAGAAGGATACATTCTGCCTTGTTTATATTTTGACCAATTAGAAAATACAAAGAAGTACAAATAATAAAGCAAACACTGATAATCTCACCGTACAAATTCAACAGTATGTTATCATATTTACGGTTTTATTTTTTCAACAAAACATATGATGAAGCTAAAATCCCCTTTAACATCCACTCTGGTCCCATTTCCCTCCTTCCTCCCCAGGAGCAATAACTATCTCAAGTTGGACGTGTATCTATTCAGGCTCTTTTCCCCCCTAAATTTATTTTAAATTTACATATAGAATTCACATTTTGGTGTATAGATCCAAGTTTTGACAAAACAGTCAGGTAACCATCACCACAGCTAAGATATAGAGTATCTCATCACCCCCAAAAGATGCTGTGACCAACCTCTACCTGTAGGCCTAAGCCTTGACAACCACTGATCTGTCTTCTGTCCCTCGTGTTGCTTTTCCCACAATGTCATGTAATGGAATCACGCAGTTCATAGCCTTTTGAGCCTGGCTTTTTACTTGGCATAATCAATTTGAGATTCATCCATGTTGTATCAACAGCTTATTCCTTCTCATTGCCAAATGGTATTCCGCCATCCACTCACTAACTGAAGGACACTGAGTTGTTCCCAGTTTTCAGCAATCATGAACAAAGCTGCTATAAACATTTGCATACAGGTTGTTTTGTGTGTATGTGTGAACATAAGTTTTCACTTGTCCTAAGTGAGAATCATCTAGGAGTGAAATCGTTGGGTCACACGGGAAGTGTGTTTTCCCGCAGTGGCTCTATCACTGCATTCTCACAAGCAACACAGGCAGGCGTGTTCCAGTTGCTCCACATCCTCGCCTGCACTTGGTATTAGTTTTTTTGTTATTTTAAAGTTTTAGCTCTTCTAATAGATCGTATAGTGGGAATTCACTAAGGTTTTAATTTGTGTTTCCCAGTGACTGGCAATGTTGAGTATCTTTTCATGAGCTTATTTGCCATCGTTTTGTCTCTGAAGCCCTTTGAACATTTATTAGATTTTTTATTGATGAATTTTGATAGTTCTTTTATCCAGGCCAATTTTTAGTGCTTCTCATACACTTATGCGTACCTATAATCTATATGCAGTATCGTATGACTATCACAGGTGTTTAAAAAAAACAAACAACTAAAACTAAAGTAACCAAATAACAGAAAAACTTGATTCTGACAAATAAAACTTTAGCCAATGCTATCTTTCCAATTTAATAAAGTTGATACTGCATTGTTCCTCTATGTTCTTTTTTTCCTGAGTTTTTAAATGAAATGTCATTTTGGTATCCTCTGGGTTGTTCGGGAAAATACCAGTGAACCATGACTACATTATACTCTCTAAGAGCAGGATCTATATGTCTGTTTCTCACCATTTTATCTCCAGTGCCTTACGCACAGGAGACATACAATGTATTTGATGCTAATAAACAACTTCTTAGGCATAGTGTTTGTCAAAGCCAAACTGAATTACTTATTGAATTAAACATTTTCCTTTTAAAAAAAGTATATTAATAAAGTGTTTCTCCTTATAATGCACTTATTGTCCATGTGAACTCTTAAAGTCACACTGGGATTATCACATTAAATGAGTTCAAATTTGGGGATAAAATAAATACTCTCAATTCAAAAATATGTTATATGAATATATATAAATTCTTTGTACTATTCTTATAACTTTTCTACAAGCCTGAAAATTGTTTCACAATAAAATTATTTGTTTAAAAACATGTTATTGTTGGGGGATGCAGATTAAGGCACAATAACAACCTCATACTTGGGTCATCTCAACAAACCCAAAGGTGCCCAAAGAGCCACAGGAAACCCTGCCCCAGAGTTTTTTGATGCAAACACTGATGCCAAAGGGTGACACTTAGCTAAACATGACAGTTGCTCTTTGTTCTGTCAGGTTATCAATGCGTTCCAAGGAGAGGCTGATAAAGGACCAGCACTGCACAGAAAACAGAAACCTGATGTGTGAGTCCTTGAATAGCTCTGCACAGAGCGGGGATAAGGAGACCTGGGTTTTAGTTTTGGCCTGGCCTGAGCAGGTAAGTGGATGGGCATGTCACACAACCTGTCTGGATTTGTTTATTCATTTCTAAAATGGCAAGAGTAGACTTGATTATCCCTAAAATTCTTTCTCGTCTTAGTGCTGTGAGTTTTATTGCTAGCTAATCCTAATCTTTAGACAACTTGGTATTAAGGCTAGCTTTTCTTCAGAAAATGAACCTGAGAGCCCTAAATCACCTGATTCTCTGTTATATAATCTACTTGACAACCACACCTGCCTTCAGACAGCAGCTGTATGTTTGTACAGTTCCTAATGGCACCGACTGTCTACAAACTGCCAGAGTAACTCACATTCTCCAAAGCCAAGTTTGGACAAAGATTTTCTCACATGCAACCGTCTGAAACTGAGTACAATAGCTGGGAAGGAGCCTGGAGGTGAACAATGGCCTTTCGGTCCCACTCAGCATGGCCTACAATAACAAATACTGTTTATAAACATGCCTTCAGCTTTATGAAATAAAGGTGGAAAATTCAAAGTACTAAGTAACAAGAGCAACATAACAGAACTTCGTACGTCTCTAATGCCAAAAACATCAGTTCCCTATTTCTTCCTGCTTCTGAAATCTAAGTCAAGCTTAGTTTTTCAAGAGATTGAAAACTTTTATTATCAAGAGATGTGTAATCCTCATAGCTCACTGGCTCAAACCCCCTACTTTTTAGTTTTTCGATAAATATGCAAATTAAACCAAATTGCAGGGCAGAAATTATTTCCAAGTATGAGACAATGAAGAGGTTCTCTTGAAGGTTCCTATGGATGGTGGAGAGATTTGTCATAGATAGCTCATTTCCCACTCACATTAGAAAACAGGAAAGTCCTTCAGAATTATCTTTCTTCAGAAATCATTAAGATGTCATAAGGAGAGGAAGAGAGGCACCATGCGGGTAACTTCCCTATGTCAAACCTCAGAAGAAAATGAACTCAATCTAGTTTTTCATTATGATGAGGTGACTGAGAACAACTGGAATTTAGCAAATCTGAGCATATTTTATCCTTCTGAAACTCTATCTTCTTACAGTTCAAATCAAAAGAACTACCCTATCAACCTCTTAGTTTTGTTATAAGCACTGAACATTAGTGTTTAAAAGACCAGAATGATTTAATAAATGCAGATTAAAATGTAAAATAGAACTTTATCATCCTCAGTAAGGATAAAATATTAGTATTTTGGAACTGTTACTGCTTAAGTTGAAGAAGCTGACACCCTGGAGACAAAAATAAATGGTTGTTTAACCTAACAATACGGACTGCAATGACCTGTTAGCAAAGACTCATATGACATGAGAGTAAATTCCAGTTTCTGGAGTCTGACCAGATAAGGTCTTTCAGAAGGGGGATACAGCTGCTTCTTTTGGCTCAACCCAAAATAGCTGGAGGAAGCACTAGAGTGGATTAAATTCCTTAGGCAAGGCTTCCAGAACATACAGCATAAAATCAAACCTTCAGAGAAAGGAAGCGGTTAGGAGCAAAACTACGCAACACAGACATAAATGCAAACGGTATTTGCCAGACACAGCAAGGACAGCCTGTGAAGCCTTCTTAACAAAAGAAAAGATGGAAGCATGTAAGGCTAACACAGGTTTGTAGTGTCTCGTGTGAGGACAGTGAAAGGGCACTGGCCTGGGAATGAGAAAATAAATTTTAGATTTCATATACCACAGTCAGAATCAAAGAATGGTTAGAACAGTCTGAGTCAGGTAGGTCCAGGTTCAAATCCCAGTTCCTTCCCTTACTTCGTATGGCTTTGGACAAGTTTTAGCCTCTCAAAACTAGTTCGTCACCTATTACACGGAGATAAGAATGCCTACTTCTTCAAGTCTGAGGATTAAATGAAATAAAGTACAAAAAGCAATGAGCACATCTAGCACATGTAATAATAAATTATAGACAACACAAGCTACATATCCTTGAGCAAACCAGGGCCTCATTTTATAAAGGGAGTGGTAACACAGAAAAGCAGTCTCACACCTTGAAGTGCCAGAAGTGATGAAGGGGTTACTACCAGCGGGAGGCTGTGTTCTGTGTTCCCTTGTTTCCCACATCAAATATTACTAGTTGTTTTCCTTACAACCAGCAAGTTACCATTAGCAACATGGCATTACTTAGGACACTAACTTTTTTTAGAAATGTTACTTCAGTATCAATAAATTAACAGATTAGTATCCATACAACCGTAAGGAATTTATTGAGCATTTTATAAAGGAAGGGTTTTTCCTGTTTCTGTTGGTTACCATCACTTTTTCCCCTATCACTAACTCATGGTATAGTCCTTGCATATAGCAGGAACTCAATAAAGGTCTGCTACTCTGACTGCGGAGCACCAGATGACCTACATCTTGAACTTTAGAAGTACTTACTTCATCCTGGACAGGACAGAGCTATTATGAATAACGAACTCAAGTGACTCAAGTGACTGTTAAGAGCACTGTACTGATGAGCTCAACAGTGTTCAAAAATAACACTTACTATAGGAAAGGATGTCAGGTTTGTCTCCATTGAAAAATCCCATTTTTAAAGGAAGGTACTACTTAAAATGACCTTCCAAAGGTCTAAGCAGAGGTTCCAAAAGATGTGACAATGCAAAGCAGCTTGGGCTCTACAAGTCAATTTAATTGGTGTTTATTGACCACCCGCCTTCCTCAAGGCACCTAGCTGGGCAATACAGGAAAAGGTACTCATGTACATTACACCAGGTAGACACTACACAAGAGAATGACTCATAACAAGATCAAATCCAGAGCTGAAGTGTAGTGTTAGCATGGCAAGATGGGATGGGAGGGATTGAGAAAAGGAAAAAAGGCAGTACTAAATGAAAAGTAAAGTCTAGGAGAACTTTCTAGAAGAGGTTTGACTCAAGCTACCCTTAAATAGCAAATACGATTTGAATGGAGGGAAATGTGTGTGCTTGGAGCATAAGGACTTCTATGTGACTGAAACAGAGATTCTACATAAGAAATAAACCTTTAGAAGTAGGGTGGCCTAAGTTCATAGCAAGTTTTGGATTCCAGAATGAAAAGTTTTAGACCCTTCTGTTTAAACTCTTTGCTTTTCAAAAGAAATAGACATTTAGCTCTTACCTGATAAAACTAATAGTCTGCCCTGGGCTGCGGTTAAACTGTGTGGATGCTGGCATTTCAGTAGTCTAGAAGCATCATGCCTGATTCAGTGCTGTAGCTTTTATTGGAGCATAACATGCCTACATAGTAAGTACCTGGGAAATGTCTGCTGAATGACCAAATGATTCCCCAGGATGTATCAGTCAGCTAAAAGTCCAAACATGGAGGGGCTCCAGCTGGTAGGCAACCTAGACTTTGATCAAAGAGCAACATCTGAGAGTTTTATGTCAGAGTAATCATCCCGCACGTCAGATTTCTGTGGAATGGGTGAGCCCCATCTCTAGCTCCTCTCCCCACCACAATCACAGCAGTCAAATAAAGTTGAGGAGTTTATTAGGGAAATATGAGAGGCAAAGACACCCCAAGTGACAGAAAGAAAATTCTGAAAATGTCCCTTCAAGCCAAGTGGGGGCCTGGCCTTGACCTCCCCAAAAGGACAAGAAACTGGTGGGTTACCAACAACATTCTCTTGTGGCCACCTTGCCGGGGCATAAGTGTCTCAGACAGGACTGCCTCCCACCCCCCCACCAAAGGTGGAAAGGAGACAAAGACTGTTTATAGAACCAATGCAGAGGCAATGAGAGCTGTAAGGAAAGTGTGTGTGTGTGTGTGTGTGTGTGTGTGTGTGTGTGTGTGTGTGTTGTGTGTGTGAGAGAGAGAGACAGAGAGAGAGAGAAAAGGAGGTGGGGAGGACCTTAACAAAGAGTCCCAGGCGTCTGGCTCTGCACGCCTCAAATACGTTGACAAACAGTTCTACAAAATGTTACTTAAAAGGTAAAATGCCTAATGTTGTTTCCAAGAGTTCCCCTGGACTTCTTCCCACATGCCACATCACACACCGATGTACATGGCAGAGCCCAAAGGCCACGCTTTTGAAAAAAGAAAAACAAGAATAAGCCCTGTTGCTCTTTAAGGAGAGAGGAAGGAGCTGAGGCTGCTGGGGCCTTTCCCACGTAGGCCTGTGTTCTGTAAAGCAACTTCCCAGCAGCAGCATGGCACAGTTCTAGGTGAGGGTCTCACCTTTTGTCACCTGTCAAAGGAAATTGACAATTAGATAAATTCACAAAGAGTAAAAAAATCTTTTTATAGATCCTAGGTAGTTGGGAATGGTAAGAAAGATAACAGCTTTGGAGTCCAGAAACCTGGGTCAAATCCAGGGAACTGAGTCCATTAACTTCTCTAAGGCTGTTATTGCTTCCATGTTTGTTTCAGTAACAAGTAGAAATGTGCATTCTCTCTGCACAACCCTTGCCTAGCGTCATGAGGAAGTACCTTCCCTGACATACTCACCCGTGCTTCAATGTACTCTATTCTCCGTTCGAGGGCTGTCAATTTCTCGTTTAGTGTTGCAAGTCTTGAACGACAAGACATATCTGGTAAAAGGAGACTGATGTTCAGGATTAATGTCATTCCAAATACAGACACACACACACACACACACACACGCGTGCGCGCACGCACGTACGTACACACAGCCCCTAGCTGAAGAGGAGGAATGATATATTATGCAGAGCCCAAATGAGAGCAGATGGGCAAAGCAGGGGAATGCAGAAGAGGTGAGAATTATATTAGGAACACAGCTGCTTAGAATGGACCTGCTGAACTTCCTACCAAGGGTGGTAGGCAGAGAAAATAACCCCTAAAGATGTCCATGACCTAATCCCCCAAACCTGTGAATATGTATCCTACACAACAAAAAGGACTTTGTGGATATGATTAAGTTTAAGGACCCTGAGATCCAGGATTATCCAGATGGACACAATCTAATCACAAATCCTAAATGTAAGAGACAGGGAAAAGGTGGAGGAAGAAGAAGAGATTCAAAGTGTGAGGGGAACTCAACCTGCTATTGCTGCCTTTGAAGATGGAGGAAGAAGACCATGAGCCAAAGGATGCCAGTGACCTTGAGAAGCTGGGAACAGCCCTCAGCTGGAAGCCAGCCAGGAAATAGAGATCTCAGGCCTACAGCCACAAGAAACTGAATTCTGCCAGCAACTCAATGAGCAAGGAAATGGATCTTCTCCTAGAGTCTCCAGAAAGAAAGGCAGCCCTGCTGACACCCTGATTTTAGCCCAGGGAACTGATGTTGGACTTCCCATCTACTCAGCTGTAAAACAATAAACTTATGTGATAAAAGTGGCTAAAGTTATGGTAACTTGTTATGGCAGCCAGTAAAAACTAACACACCAACACTGTACAGGTGGCTATTTGCTAAAAGGCAAACCAAGAGTTTCAGGAAAGGGGAAGCAACAAGAGGAAGAAAATAATCTCAACAGGGAGGAGAAACAGAGGCCAAGAAAGCAGCAGAGACTGTGGAGAGGAGGAAAGGCATCACTGCTTTTGCTCTAGTAAGGTACTTAATGTGTCATCACTATGTGTGCAGGCATTTCAGAATGAGAAAAAACTTGGGAGAACATCAAATACCCTGTGAAGCCCACATTCCATCTGTGGAAAACAGCAAAACCCCTTTTCTTCCTTTATCCTTCTAATCTTCTTTCTCTACCTCATCCAAAATGAAACCTCAGATTTCCCCTAAAATACCTTTTCCTCTGCAAACTCCTCTAACAGAAACCACTTTACTACTCTTTCCCCAACCATTCTCAACACACAGGAGAAAAGGTTTCTAGACATGCTAATTATTTCCTACCTCTTCAACTTCACTGTTTGCTCATCCTCAATAATCTTCACTTTTTAAGCCTAAAATATCCTCTCTCCAAGACAATCTCCCACTCAATAATTTAACATTTAGCTCACAACTTCCTCTTCATCTCTTCCTTGTTATGCAAAAGCACTTGGGCATCTATTTCAACAAATTTTCCTTCACCCAGATTTTGCCTCAACCCCACGTCCAAATCTTCTCCATGTCCAAATCTTACTCATCTTGCCTGTCTAAACATTCTCCTTCAAGGTTCACTTCAAATTGGGCCTCTGAGAGGTCTGTGACAGATGGATATAATTCTCCCTATGCTGTACATTTATGGTTGAATTTATAGTTTATGTACTTGGTCTTAGTTATCATTTCCCCCTTTGAATACAGATTTAACACATAAGAATGTTCACCACTTGGGGCGCCTGGGTGGCTCAGTTGGTTAAGTGTCCGACTTCGGCTCAGGTCATGATCTCACAGTTTGTAAGTTCAAGCCCCACATCGGGCTCTGTGCTGACAGCTTAGAGCCTGGAGCCTTCTTAGAATTCTGCATCTCCTTCCCTCTCTCTGCTCCTCCCCTGCTCATGCTTTGTCTCTCTCTCACTCTCCTTCAAAAAAATAAAAAATAAAAAATAAAGAATGTTCACCACTATTACTTATGAATGATTTCATGAAGTAGGGCATATTTATGAAAGACTATTAAAACCAACCATTAAAAATTACAAGTTTGCATCTTTTTAACAAGTCACTAAAAAAACAAACAAAAAAGGCATCATTTTAACAAATCATTAAAAAACAAAACAAGGGGTGCCTGGGTGGCTCATTTGCTTAAGTGTCCGAATAAGAGTTCAAGCCCTAGGTCAGGCTCTGTGCTGACAGCTCAGAGCCAGGAGCCTGCTTCAGATTCTTCCTCTCCCTCTCTCTCTGCCCCTCCCCTGCATGCAAACAAAATTACAAGGTTGAATACTCAATGACACGAGAAAATGCTCATGCTACATAGCCCAATGATATTTATATATTTATAATTTATCATTTATTTCCATGTCTGCTCCCCACTAGAATGAGTTCATCAAAGGCAGATACTGACTCTTATTAATCTTTGAAATATTAGTATCTTGCCTGGCACAGATTTTTTTTTAAAAAAAAAAAAAAAAAAAAGATGGATTCTGGCATATTGGTATCAGTAGAACAAAAAATTGGCTCTAGTGTGACTCTACTAATTCTACAAGTGGGGAAACCAAAGCCCATCTTGGATAACTGATGGGACAAAATAGTAAGTAGCATAGCTGAGTTCAGAACCCAGTTCGCTTACTGCCCTGGATGGTACCTTCCCACCACACACAACATTACCATCTTTAGGAACCTCTGAGGCCGTAATTTATTCCCCACATCTCTCTCTCTCTCTATCTCTCTCTCTCTCTCTCTCTCTCTCTCAAGTTTGTTTATTTTGAGAGAGAGAGAGAGAGAGCATGTGCAGGGGAGGGGCAAAGAGAAAGGGAGAATCCTAAGCAAGCTCTGTGCTATCAGCGCAGAGCCCAACACAGGGCTCAAACTCACGAAACTAAAATCATGACCTGAGCCAAAATTAAGAGTCAGACACTTAACTGACTGAGGCACCCAGGTGTCCCTATTCCCCACATCTCTTTTTTTAATGTTTATTTATTTTTGATAGAGAAACAGACAGAATGCGAGGTGGGGGGAGGGGCAGAGAGTGAGACACAGGATCTGAAGCAGGTTCCAGGCTCCAAGCTGTCAGCAGAGCCCGATGTGGGGCTCGAACTTACGAACTGTGAGATCATGACCTGAGCAGAAGTTGGACACTCAACTGACTGAGCCTGGAGTCCCCTCCCCACATCTCTTAAAATATGCTTATAGCCTGACTCTTCCATTTACTGGTTCCTTTTTTTCTTTTTGTTTCCATACTAGGTATTTTCCCACTCACCCATCTTCATTATTCTTTTTTAAAAATAGCTTAATTGATATATAATTTATATACCATGAACTTCACTTGCTTAAAGTATACAATTCAATAGTTTTTAGAACAGAGTTGTACAACCATCACCATAATCTAATTTTAGAACATCCTCAAAATCCCTACATGAAACCTTGTACCAATGAGCAGTCATTCCCCATTCAGCCTTACCCCAAGTGCTGGCAACCATTCATCTTTCTGTCTCTATGGATTTGCCTATTCTGGACATTCTCCATTCCTCTTTTAAATCGCTTTGTTTATCTGCTAGTGCTGCTTCTTCTAATTCCTAGATCTAGCTTGAGTACAAAGACCTCAGCACCCTCCTTTTCCTGGATCCACCTTCACTGCCAGGACGGCCCAACAGGACCAAATCTCTTTCAATCTGGTTTTTAGCAGCTCAAAGGCACACCATGTATGCTATTCAGTAAGAGCATGAATGTTACCACTAACAACCTGTCATTTCCCATAAAAAGAAACATGCCAAAATTATCTGCAGGGGGGTGGGGTGGTGAGAGGGAGGGTTCCTTCCTGGACAGCTGTTTCTGTTCTAGCTCTGTAAATTTGGTAATGAATCCGAATGCAAGAACAACACTATGTTACTGACCTAAATGGGTAAGCACTGTTGAGAAATATATAACCTCCAGAATATATAACTCCAGAAACTAGTCATTATTTCAGATCCCAAGAAATACATATTGATTCAAGCAAAACACTGTGAAAGCACTCAGCAGCTGAACAAATCTGAAACCAGAGTGCATTTATGAGTGTGTTATCACCAGACTTTAACTGAAGACACCAGCAGTCCTAGCCAGGGTGCTTGATACTGTGTATCCATTACCACTACTGACAAATGCCAGTTACCAGCTCCTCTGAACTCTTAATGCACATAACCTTAGCCTGCAAAAATCAACACTGTCCTTCTCTTGAACTGCTGTTGTAGTTACGTCTTACTTCTCTGACAGAATTCTAAATTTCCCAGGAGTGGCTACCATTTATTCTTGTTTATTCCTTTTTCAGAGGATGTGTCACATAGCTGGGATCATAACAGGCATGCTACATTTGTTGGCTAAGTATAAAAACTGACATTTAGAAAAATATCACTTATTATTTTTGTTACACTTCTCTGCACAGATTAGCTTTAGAATCAGATAAAATGCTATAAAAATAAAAAGCTATCTTCCGTGACAATCTGTTTTTAGAAGTGTCCCCAATTCAAGGTACAGAACAGGCCAAGTGTTTGGGTGTTATCACTGCCTTGTGATCTATGGGTTCTCAGGTTCAGGTGGGTGGTCCACCTATATTACTCTCACCTGCTGGAATCACAGGGTAAAAGCTATTTAGTCATTAGCTAACAGTTTCCTCTGCAAAGTACACGGCCTACAGAGACTCTCTGTGGCCGGGATGGGGACTGGAGGATTGCTGCCATTTCCAAAGAGCTCCAGATGCCCCCTCAAAGTAAACTCCTGGTAAATCTCTGTACCACCAAATCATATTATTATAAATTCAATATAAGCCCTACATCTACACATCAGAACTGAGGAGTCACACTAAGGACTTAGAGTGGGAAAATATATCCCTCACAAGTTCATCCTGAGTCATTCAATGCCAAGACAATATATTCAAATGTTACATGATTTATCCAGTTTCTCGGCCTGTTGGTCCTTGTCGAAACTCTTCTATCAATGACATGCTCAGTCTTCAAGAACTTGCCTCAGGTACACCTAAGTACTAAGTCAAATGGCTTTAGCTTTTTACCTTGCTTCATAATTCCATTTTTAATTGCAATTAATTGTCATTTTTCTTTAAAAGGACTAAATTCATTTCCCACAATCTTCAAAAACTATTTAGTAATTACTCCAAACATTAGGCCACTAGCATCGCATTAAGGGAGAATAATGGCTTAAGCTAAGGAAATCCTTAAGATCCAATCCTCAACACTGGAATTCTGTGTGACTTTTCCTCAGTCTAGGACTTGTTGGAAATCTCAAATAAAAAGAAAAGTCTTTATCCTCTATTTGATCACAAAATGTGATTCACACATTTGATAAAATTTCAGTGCAGGTATTCCCTTGTTTATAAAGCAAGAAAAGAGGCATTTCTCCCCTGCAAATCCTGAGCTGAAACTCTTCAATTTCTGGTCAGTTCCAAGCCTCATCTGCTATAAAGCTAGTGACTATAAGATGGCAAGAAGATTTATGTCAAAGATAAATGTACATGAATTAAAAGTTTATTAACACAATTCAGTGCTCAGAAATGAAGTTATTACGTTACCCAGATCCAAATCCAGGGAAGTGACATGCTAGATCACTTTTAAATTTTGAGTAACAGCCCCAGCGTTACTTGTAATTTTAGATGCTTTACTGATTTCACTGACATTCTTAATACTTTGATTGGATTTTCTGATCCTACCAGATAGGTGAAGTCTTTTAATTCTGCTTTTTAAAGTTAAAACTCTCCATGTCAGTGATTTTTCCAACTACTTTCCACTGCCTTTCCCAACTAAGCCAAAGTCTCAAAGCTGTGATCTTATCTTTCCATCTTTCCCCTAGCATGCAATATTTTGGTTTCTCTTCTCCAGCCCTCTCTCTGAAGGAAGACTATGAGTAAAGAATGCTGTGATCAACCTCCAATAATAGTTCAACTCTCCAGGAAAGCAGGAGAAACCAATTATGAGAACTAACATTGAAAGAGTTTGCACAGAACTTAGGAAGAAAGAAACTGAGGAAACCCAGACTATCTGAGTAGCAGGGTAAATAGGTTCAGTATTTCTTAGATGTTTCAGTTCACTGCAATCCATTAGTGTAGCCTCCGACTTGAGTCTCCTAGCTCCAAATCCATGTATCTTTTTTACTAAACCATACTCCTTCACTCATGGTCCTTAAACAATTTCAGGATACATGAGATCTATGATTTGTTGACTATCATTCCCTCCTACAACCTCTATCTATACCGAGTTATGGGTGCGAATATGTATCAATTGCATATATATTTATACTGTTCTCTCATGAATACTGCCCTCACCCTCATTCCCTGGTGAGAAAATCCATCATGCCAAGGCACATCAAGATTATAATCTTAAACACTTTGTAAGTAAATACATTAATACAAAACCGATGTTCCGAAGCTGTCATTATTTCATCTTCAAGACAGAAATTCCTTGAAAGCAGGAAATGATTCTTATTCTCTGTCCTCCAGAGTGGAGCTTTGAGAGAGAGCTTTGTACTGAGATCTAGTTTCTCTTGCTGATGCTTTCTAAGAAAATTCATGTTCTGTTACCTTACTCCTCAGAATGCATCAGTCCTCTGACTGGAAAATTAATTACTTTAAATCATTTTTATACATCAGTTTCCACTACTTCGTCTTAGTTGCTTGCGGCTGAAGTGCTGGAACAGGAGCACACTAGTTGGAAAAAGATCACTAGATGTCATCCTTACACCTTGCAATTACTTAAGTAAGTCTACCCAGGGCCTAATTCGGCTAAAGAAACAGTTGGGAGAAGATGGGATGGGAGTCTCTGTTACAAGTTTGCTGTCCAGAAGGACACGGAACAATGCATCAAGAATTTAAGACTATCACAAGCAAGCCACGCCTAGGAAAGATTTTGCCAAAAGCAGAATACCAACTATCGGCTAAATACTAGCAATATAGAAAGCTCCATATCTTTAAAAATCTGGACTTTACTTCTGATCTCGTCTCCTACCACTGTCAGGACAAGAAACACGAGAGACGGGAAGGGGCGACTAAAAGGCATGGCGCTAAAATGATCCTGAAAACGATGAGGAAACTTCAAGAGACTTAAACAAGCAGCGACACGGCTGCGGCTGCATTCTGAAAGGCGCACATTGAGCGCAAAGTGGGAACTGGAATGGAAGCGGGTCACAAAGGAAGCAGGGAGGCTACTGCTGAGAGAAGAAAAGAAGAAAAGAGAAGAAAAGACGGTGGATGGAGCGATCTGAAGAGTCTGGAAAAAGGAAGGACTTGTTAACGGATCTGGGGTGATAGCAATGAAGCCGATGAGCTCAGCCTGGCGCAGGATAACCCCACAGGCACTGCCCAGTGGAGCCTGAGGATCAGAGCGAGAGGGGGAAGGTGGACTCCGAAAGGAGGACGCGAAAACCAGCCCGGAGAAAGCCCCTTCAAAGCTTCTGAGCGCCATCGCCAAACTGCCTGAGTGGCCTTCGACCCACCCTCGCCTCCCCCTGCTCGCCCGCTGACCGAACGAGTTGAGAAAGTCCGCGATTTTCTTGATGCTGCTGGTGATGACCTCAATGTACTCCCGGTTCGCCCAGTCCTGGTGAATCTCCCGCTGCACCGGATCCTCTTGACCCGCCATGGCTGCCGCCTAAGGAGGAGCGACTGCGCAGGCGCCTCGACCCTCCAGGCCGGCAGTGCGTCTGCGCTGCCAGTCCACACCCATGCCTTGACACCCACAAATCCACGAACATTGTGATGCGCCTGCGCGATGTCAAGTCCTCGCCTGCGTTTTAGTTCTGCTCCCACGCCCCTGAAAAAAGTCGCATCAAAAACCAGCGGGGAGACTGGAATGCGCAAGCGCCGAGACACTCCCTACCCATCACGTACCCCACCCTGGGCGGTTTTGGTCGTTGCGGGGCACGTGACCACCTGACACCCACTGCCCTAGCTGCTCCAAACTAAGGTTTGTGTCAGCAATAGGTTGGGTACAGTCAATTAAGCCACATTAAATACAACTCATTTTAAAAATGGCTTTCAACAACGCAATATGATGCCCACCTTGCAACCATGAAATGAACAAAATATTATTTTTTTCTAAACAATAATATCTAGTGGTGGAGAGGCGGAGGGGAAATTGATAGACTCCTAAATAGCTGGTCACACTGTAAACTGGCACAACTCCTTAAGGAAATTTATAAATTGATAGCAAGAACTGTCAAAAAATTCAAACTTTTTTGACCTAAACATTAAGAAAATCGTTTAAAAAAGGGGTGGGGGGAGACATTTAAGCACAAAGGTGCTCTTTGTGACATTGTCTATTTAAAAAAACAAAACAACTATATCTCCACAGTTGGGGAATAACTAAGCGATGATATAGCCACCTACGACGATATCATGCAGCTACTTAATATAATTAATACCATTGCTATTTAAATAAAATGGCAATTATGAACTCTGACACATCACATACGTGATAAATGAAGGGGAAAACAAAATACAACATTTTCTTTGATTGCAATTATATGAAAATTACATCTGCTTGAGGACAAAAAGTATATACAAAAAATGTCACTGTCTTGTTTACTAAAGTAGTGGAATTATGAACAATTTTAGATTTGTTTAAGAGCGTATTTACAGTCTGCTTTGTGCAATACATGCACTGGGAAGAAACCTTTACTAACAGTCCTTTACTCAGAAACGAGATTTTACAAGCTATAAAGCTACTTTTGTAGCTTTTACCTCACTGGACCCTCACAAACCCTGTGGAAGGAAATCAGGAAGAGGTTTCTCTTGATGACAAAGTTAAAGGTCACACAGTCAAATAAGTGGTGGACCTTCACCAGTTGATTCCTGACTCCAATATCTTTTCACTGAACCAATCTGAAAACAGGTTAGGGTCTATCTTGAGCTCTCCTACATATTCATAGAAATGATGCTAAAATAATAAATATCAACTGAAAATATCGAACCCCAGGCATCCAGAGGGCTATTGCCATTCAAGACCCTGCTTCCTAAGTGATGCTGTTGAAGTTAGTATCTTGCTCACATGTCACAAATATATCGGATAGATCTGCTTTTCCTTTTTTTTTTTTAATTTTTATTTTAGAGAGAGAGAGCAAGCAGGGGAGAGGGGTAGAGGGAGACAGAGAATTTCAAGCAGACTCCATGCTCAGCAAGAAGATTGACATAGGGCTCGATCCCATAATCCTGGGATCATGATCTGAGCCAGGAGTCAGTCACTCAACTGACTGAGCCACCCAGGTGCCTGAGATGTACTTTTCCTTCAAAGGTGGGACATCTCAGTTTCAAATCACAAATCTACCAAAGAGGAGTCACTTCACCCCTTTGAGCTTTTGTTTCTTCATGTGTAATACAGGAGTAACAACATGGATGGATTAGGATTGTTGGGAGAATTCTGTGAGAAAGGATAAATAAAACACAAAGCACAGTGCTTGACTCTTCACAAAACAGACACTCATGAGTTTACATTTCCTTTTTATGTAGAAAGCGGAAAATTAAGTACACATATCTATCCAACTTTTTTTCCCCAGATTAATGGACTTCCATGGACAAGTCAGGCTCAGCTCTTCTCTTTTTCCAGGACTTCCTATACACCTATTCTAGGGTCTCCCCTGTAATTCCAAACAACACAAGGATGTGGTGCTATGCTACAGTGAAGAATATTCCTCTGGACTTCTGCAGCTTTTTCCTGTATGCTCATCGAGCTTGCTGTCAGGCAGTCCTTCAGTATGGGTTTGCCAGCGTGGGAGTTGTTCACAGCAGAAGTTGTTACCGATGAGTGATGCAGGGCTACAGAGGCAAGCCCTTTGGGAGTGCTGCTGGTGCAACAAGTAGTGCTTCCAGGTGGCAGATTGCCTCAGCATAAGAGAACAAGGTTCTGGTCTTTAGATCTGTCATATGTTTCACAGCACTCAAGGAATCTTGTCAATGACTTCATGGATAATAATCAGAGTGGAATCAAATTCTTGAAGAAATGTGTCAATTGCATTACATGTGGTCATGTGAGTCTTTTTTGCAATCATATGCACTTAGACCATCATTTGTGCAGCTATGGATATAGCATGTGCACCATGGCAATGTTGTTAGCCTCTTTGAAAGAACTGCATCCTCTTTTGGCAGAGCAAATGTGGCTTTTGTCATGACAATCCGTGAAAACAGTGCACACAGAATGTTGAGCACTGGATCATACAGTGCTACAACAAAGGTGATGTTGTAGGTCATCAGTAACTTGTAACATGGGAGATTATGGTTTTCCATATATGTGTGATAGACGTGGAGCTGGAGTATCAGAGCCAGAGGTGATAGCAAATTGTACCTCCGAAAATGTATCCCTTAGAGCTGGGCAGACTGTATAGAGGGCTGTGGTACAGAATGTCTTAACAGCACGAAGCCCTCTCTAGCCAACAACTTTTAATTATATAATTTTACTTTGGGGGTTTTAATATTTAAAAAACACAACTGTGCAATAAAAACTGTTCTGTTTGCTTTTTAAATAGCAGTGTCTCTTTTTATCAACAAGAAAATAAAAATAAACTTACTGGAAAATGATTTGCAATTCAAATCATTTCAGTCTCTTCCAAGTCTAGACTCATCACTCTCTGTCCCTCTCTCCATTTTCGGACTTCCCTTCCAAACTCTCTTCTCCATTTTCCTTTCCTTCCACAGGGTGCCACACACACACACACACACACACACACACACACACACACACACACCACATATGACAGTTCTTGATCTCTGCCCCTTAAGACCTCTTGACCCTCAAGACCAAGACCATCTGGTCTTCCAAACCAGGATCTTAGCCTGACTCCACAGCCATGCCCCCCATCTCTCCTGTTCAGCTTCATCCAAAGAGCCAGATAAAAGGTGACAGTTCTTATTTATGCTGTGCTCTATAGTTGGAAAGTGCAAGGGCAATTTCTGGGTAAGGTAAGGGCAGGAAGGACCATTAGTTTAATTCTCGCCACGAATACTTCAACACTGCCACGCACTGGGATAGCCAGGCACAGGAGATATAGGAGTTAGTTGTGTAGACCTGTCTTCCCTCAGCCTTCCAAGGACATTGTTTGCAGTGACGCTTACAAAGTTGTTAAATCACTCACTGTGGTGAAACGGTCAGTTCTTCAGCTTTGTTAGAAGACGACAGCATCGCCTTTTTGGGGGTTTAATAGGAGGCAGAAAAACGATTTTGGGTCAGGAAGTCAAGGGAAGACACGTACCTTTCCTCTTGTTCGTGAGAGGTGAACATTTATAAATACTGTCTCCTTGTGCTGGGACCACACCAATGCAGCAATAAAAGCTTTCAGCCTGAATACGTCTTGAGCGTGGTTTAAAGCGTGAAGACTGGGGCTCTTGGGAGACTCAGTCAGTTGAGCATCCCACTCTTGATCTGGGCTCAGGTCATGATCTCAGGGTTCCTGAGATGGAGCCCGGAGTTGGGCTCTGTGTGCGCTTACAAGCCAGAACCTGCTTGGGACACTCTCTCATTCTCTCTCTCCACCCCTCCCTTTGCCCCTTGCCCACTCGCATGCATGTGCGCGTTCTCTCTCTCTCCTCTGCCCCATTCAAAATAAATAAACTTGAAAAAAAAAAAAAAAAGACTAAAGACTAACTCAACACTAACTACAAGTCCCGGGACTTCTATGCAGGTTCCTGACCACACCTTTTGAAGTGGGCGTGTCGCCCTCCGTGACTATCTGAAAAGCACAAAGGTGTAGCGGGGAAGAGAGGAGGAGGGGGAATGGAGAGGACAGGATTCGAACCGAGTCCTGGACAAAGGGTTCCAAGGCGGTGGGGGTAGAGAATCTAGTCCTGACACCTCCCAAGCTGGGCGTCTGGAGCCCTCATCCCCGCGGCGGCTCGGGCTCCCCCCCCCCCCCCCCGCCCCGCCCCGTCCTGGGTCACAAAGGCGGTTGCCAGGCGCCCGGTGGAGAAGAGAAATGGCCCGGGAACAGCGGCCGCCACTCTGGAGCGTGCGGCCCCGCGGAGTTCAGCAGGTGAGCCCCCGGCCCGGATGGTGGGACCGGGCCCGGGCTCCCACCGCCACCTCCGCCTCGGCCAAAGCCGTCTGGCCCCCACCCCCATTTAGGGACCCACAGGGGACAAGCCCCTTCTGCCTGCTGGGAAGGGGAGCCTCCCCCACTCCCGGCAGCTTCAGACTCTCCGGATCAGGATCGCAGTTCACAGTTCACGAAGATCTCAGCTGCACCTGGACGTTCACTTCCCCTTTCCCAGGTGGGGAAATCGAGGGACCTATTTCCTTGGAACGGGAAGAGCGTGTAAAGGGGAAGACTTTTGGCCAGGAGTACAAGGTGTTCCGTATCTGGGAGCTATTAAAGCAGTTTAAACAGACTTCCAAGGTTGAACCCCTACTGGAGTGGATGACGGTGATTTCAGGTGGTGGGAGTGGAGGAGTGAATCGTCTTGATTTAAACCTTGTGTGGAAGTGGTGTGATCTGGGTTCAGAAGCCCCCTCTCAACCCAGGTTGGTTCTGCCCAGCACTTAAGCTGGGCACTTGATAAAACCTTTTACCTCCAGCCCTATCTGCTCTTAGGAGTGAAGGATTCAGGAAAAGGATCCTGGGATTAAGTAATCTTTTTTGGTCATATGCTGAGGAGTTGTTAACACCCTGCACATTCCACCTTGCCATGGTGTTGTACCAGTGCAGCCCTGATCTTCTATGTAGTGAGTGATGACATCAAGCATCAGAAGACTTTCACAGGATGTTTGTAATAGACAACTATCCCTTCAGTGTCAACTGCTCATCCTAAGGCAGTCCAGATATTTGAACACAGTACGTGAAGGAATGTACAAAGACAGGAAAAACAACAATTGAAAGAAATCAACAAACCTCCTTTATGCTAAGCACTGTCAGGGAGAGGTCTTCTGATTTGAAATGTCACCAATAACTCTTTTGCTTTTATTTTATTCTTTTCTCCAAAAAGAGGTCCTAATATATGCATGTATGTATGTATGTATTTTTATTTCTTCTCGTTAACACACAGTGTAGTCTTGGTTTCAGGAGTAGAATCTAGCGATTCATCATTTACATATAACACCCAGTGCTCATCCTAACAAGCGCCCATCACTCATTTTCCCCACCCCCAACAACCCTGTTTGTTCTCTATATTTAAGAGTTTCTTATGGTTTGCCTCCCTCTCTGTTTTTATCTTATTTTTCCTTCCCTTTCCTTATGATGTTCTGTTGTTTCTCAAATTCCACATGAGTGAAATCATGTGATATCTTTCTCTTCTTTTGCTTAGCATAATACCCTCCCTCCAGTTCCATCCACATTGTTACAAATGGCAAGATTTCATTCTTTTTCATTGCCAAATAGTATTCCATTGTATGTATGTGTATGCATATGCAAATCATACAGACACATGTATGCGTGTATATTATGCGCATATATATGCATGTATCAATTCGTCAGTTGATGGACGTTTGGGCTCTTTCCATACTTTGGCTATTGTCAATAGTGCTGTTATAAACATTGGGGTGCATGTGCCCCGTTGAATCAGCATTTTGGTTTCCTTTGGATAAATTCCTAGTAGTGCAATTGCTGGGTCATAGGATAATTCTATTTTTAATTAAAAAAAAATAGTGAGGTACCTCCACAATGTTTTCCAGAGTGGCTGCACCAGTTTGCATCCCCACCAACAGTGCAAGAGGGTTCCCCTTTCTCCACATCCTCGCCAACACCTGTTGTTTCCTAATTTTAACCACTCTGACCAGTGTGAGGTGATTTGTCATTGTGGTTTTGATTTGTATTTCCCTGATGATGAGTGATGTTGAGCACCTTTTCCTGTGTCTGTTGGCCATCTGGGTTTCTTCTTTGGAAATGTGTCTATTCATGTCTTGTGCCAATTTTTTCACTGGATTGTTCTTCAGGTGTTGAGTTTGGCAAGTTCTTTGTAGATTTTTGATACTAACCCTTTATGTCATTTGCAAGTATCTTCTATTCATCAGTTCCCTTTTAGTTTTGTTGTTTCCTTTGCTGTGCAGCAGCTTTTTATCTTGATGAGGTCCCAATAGTTCATTTTTGCTTTTATTTCCCTTGCTTTCAGAGACCTGCAGCCGAGGTCAAAGAGGTTATTGCCTGTTTTCTCCTATAGAATTTTGATGGCTTCCTGTCACATTTAGGTCTTTCATCCATTTTGATTTTATTTTTGTGTATGGTATAAGAAAGTGGTTCAGTTTCATTGTTCTGCATGTTGCTATCCAGTTTTCCCAGCGCCATTTGCTAGATTTTTTTTCCATTGGATACTTTTTCCTGCTTTGTTGAAGATTAGTTGGCCATATATTTGTGGGTCTATTTCTGGGTTCTCTCTTCTATTCCATTGATCTATGTCTGTTTTTGTGCCAATACCATACTGTCTTGATGATTACAGCTTTTTTTTTTATTTTTTTTTTAACATTTATTTATTTTTGAGACAGAGAGAGAGAGAGCATGAACAGGGGAGGGTCAGAGGAAGAGGGAGACATAGAATCTGAAACAGGCTCCAGGCTCTGAGCTGTCAGCACAGAGCCTGATGTGGGGCTCAAACCCACAGACCGCGAGATCTGATTACAGCTTTGTAATCAGACAACTCTTTTTTAAAATTAACTTTACTGTCTTACAAACTATGGTGGAGGAGTCAACTTTTCACATTTCTTGGGCAATTACTAGATAGGATGGGATCAGATCTGCTGCTGTTACCTTTTGTGGGAGAAGAGAGAAGGGGCAGAGAAAAATACTTGACTGGAAAGAAAAGGGAACTGCTATGCCCCGTAACACAATACATAGGTGCTCAAAAATGTTAGCTTCTTAATTCAGTAAAACCTTTTATATATTGGCAATTTTAAAGCAGAATGATGGAAAATCCATTTTCTACTTGAATAAATTTTGAGTTAGCAACATCCTCCCAGCCCTTTCTTTTTCCTTTAAGGGGGGGAAATCACAATCTTAACCACTGGGTCTCCCATAACAAACCAAAGTCAAAAATAAAACACACCTAGAAGAATCAGAAAAATGTTTAAACATTTATTTAAAGACTGTCCTTTGGAAACCTTTTTTCCTTCTAGCCTGGTGTAATTCCTCTGAGGTGGTACATAAGTACCTCAGAGCTCTGAGAGAGCTGTTCCCTTATGTTAAAAAACAGGTTTTTAGGGTCAAGAGGAGACAGTCTCCATAATGAAGAATAATGAAAACCTAAGTTCCTTAAAAGGGACACCATCAGAAGTTCTCAAATAGTAAGTGCATCCGAATACCCTGAAGGGTTTAAATGTAGATTGCAAGGCCCTACCCCCAGTTTCTAATGCTATGGGTCTAAGGTAGGGCCCAAGAATGTACATTTCTACATTCCTAGATGGTGCTTAAGCTGCTAGTGCCAGGATCATACTTTGAGAACCCCTGGTATAAATAAAGTACATGGGATTTAGAGTCACAAATATCTGGTAAGATATGGCCTTTCTGAGCTTCTGACCACTTCATCATGAAGTGCCAGCATCCTCTGCCACCTCAGAGGTGTAGATTCTGTCTTTAGCAGTTATAATGGTGAACTGGGGTATTCCATTTTGGACAAACCCATCTCCTCACCTGTAAAATAGGTTAAAACCTACCTTCAGAGGCCTGTGATAAGACTTAATAAAGTTTTAGTATACATAGTAGTTGCCAGATTCAATACTTGTGACCATCCACTACTGCACTTTATAGAATTACTAGTATCCTTAGCATCTATTGGAGTCTGTTAATGAGAACTACAGAATAAGTTAAAGTCAATAATGAAACAACTAAATGTGAATTTAAATGGCCATGCCCTTCCCAAAACCATGCTGGGGAAATTCCATGTTCTGATTCCTCTTCTTTAGGACTGTCAATGGCAGGATACCAGCTCTGGTCACCATGGACCCCACTGGACGAGAGCTTCCAATGGCTGCGGCACACAACACCTACATCTTCTTCAAAGCACCCTTTTAGGGCTTCCCCCTGCTTCCCACATACCTCTTCTGACCTTGAAGTGCAGCTGTGCTTTCAAGAGGTCACTCTAGTTCTAGACAGCCCATTCCTGGAGCCTGGGGTGAGTCCCAAGTTACCCTGCCACACATCAGAGCTCCAAACCATGAACAACAAGAAAGGGCTGGTCAGGAAGCCCCAGGCTGTCCGCCTCAGTGGAGTGGATTCCGTGTTTGGCAGGGTCATCACAGCTCAGCCACCAAAATGGACCGGAACCTTCAGAGTTTCAGACAAATCAGCCTTTTGCAAAATCATCAGCCGGGAGCACCAGTGGCCCACTGGACTTAAGGAACCTCAGATTCAGATGACAGTGACCATGTGCAAACAGATGCTGCGCTCTATCCTCTTACTGTATGCAACATACAAGAAGTGCACTTTTGCCTTACAACACTCCAAGTAAAGGGTTCCCATCTGATTCCTGTTCCTTATACCATGCCCTTTTACTATGTGTCTGAAGTTTACAGAAACCTGTCTGTGTAAAGGAAACTGACATCACCCCAGCAATCTTGCTTTTCTGTCACGCAGTGACAATTCAGGAACCCCTTTATGTCCTTTCCCCTCCAAAGAAGGCCAGTGACCGGAGCAAGGGAGAACATTTCCACTGTAAAGCTGAACAACATTTAAAAGAGAGTCAAACTAGCGTTAACATGTACATGTGATAAAGAACCATTAAACCATAGAAACCAATGAGCCTAGTGTGAACTCACTTCAACATCTAAGACGACATCATGTTCCCCAAAAATGAGTTGGGGAAACAAAGGGGTGTCAAGGAAGGAGATTACGGATTTCCACGTACATGAGGACGAAGGGATCAAAAATTTATAGATGGTTCAAGGATTAAAAAAAATAATAAAAAATAATCCCCCCCCCCCCACCAAATCAACAACAAAAAACCCTAACAACCACATCCTAATGCCACTGGAGAGTACTAAAGTGGGTAGAAATATTAACAAATATTAAATAAATATTTATAGCCTGGCAAGAAAGAACTTGGAGGCAGCAATGAAACTGGGCTTTCTGGCGGAACACAAGAGAGCTCCCCATTTTAGCTGGTGTACTACTATTCTACTTCTAATAAACAAGTAATTTCGTAGCATTCTTGTAACTAGATTATAGGTATAACTCAGAATAATGTGGAAATAAAATAAACATATATACAAAGTCAACATGAGTTTGATGGTGCCTTTTCCCTCTTTGTCTTGTATCTATAGGATGACCAGAGAATTTTTACAAAGCAGCCAGAATTTTTCTTTTGACTTTCTTTGGGAATTGTCCAGAAATTTGTCACTCCTCCAAAAATATCACAAAGATTTTCTCATCTCAAGTAAAGATGGTCCTTAGAATAGGAAATATGTGATTTTAATTGGTAGAAGTGATGTGTTCACACCAATTTCCATTATTTCTCTGCATAAACCCCAACTGAATTCCATGTAATACTTGACTTCTGAAGGAAATTCAGAAAGAGGAATGAGGTAGTTCAGGCAGAACTTAAAACAATTTATTTGTAAAACTGGTACAATCCTAAATTCTAAAAGTTTCAAAACTAGCTCCCAAAGCCCAGTATCTATTCCACAGCATAGCACTGCCACGTTTGCCCAAGACCGATAAGTAATGCTACAGTGGAATCATGAGCCAAGGTCTTTGATGATGATAGACAACCTATGAAAGTCAAATTCGGCGGATTCAGCAAAGCCCACCACCCCAGTGACAAAACAGGATGCTTCCAGTAAGGAAGGCAGACAGATTTCAAACCCTAAACACAAAACAGGAAGAGGCTAGCAGACATGGGGAAGGGGCAGCAGTCTCTCCGTGATCTAATCGGAGTCATCATCACTCTCATCACTATCTTGCTCCTTTTCTCCATCACTTACTTCATCTTCACCATCCTAAGGGGTAAAGGATAATTAGATATTTTAGGTCATCTGAATAACCCCATGAATTACAAGACTGCTCCCATAGGATTTACTGTACTGTATCATCATTAAAACCAATGACGGGCGTTAAAACATTCATCTGAAAAAGGAATTGAGGCTCCCCTGTTATTTTTCTATTGTGACCTCTTAAGCCAAGACTATGGAGGAAGGCCACTGGGATAGCAACCTATGACATTTTGCAACTGAACCAAATTCACAGGATTTTTACATAAGCCATGGTCCTCCACCTCTACTGCATGTGTGTGATATAGAACAAAGTAGGTACTCAATATAGAATGAAATGTTTGCTAACTTAAAAATTCTGGTGTAGGGGCTCTTGGATGGCTCAGTCGGTTGAGTGTCCGACTTTGGCTCAGGTCATCATCTCACTGTTCATGGATTTGGGCCCCACATCGGGCTCTGTGTTGACAGCTCAGAGCCTGGAACCTGCTTCGGTTTCTGTGTCTCCCTCTCTCTCTGCCCTTCCCCTGCTCGCACTGTCTCTGTCTTTCCAAAAAAAATGAATAAACATAAAAAATAAAACAAAATAAAATAAAAATTCTGGTGTATCTTGGGACACTTGGGTGGCTCAGTCGGTTAAGCGTCCAACTTCAGCTCAAGTCATGATCCCGTGGTCTGCGAGTCGAGCCCTGCATCGGGCTCTGTGCTGACAGCTCAGAGCCTGAAGCCTGCTTTGGATTCTGTGTCTCCCTCTCTTTGCCCCTCCCTCACTCATGCTCTGTCTCTGTCTCAAAAATAAACAAACATTAAAGAAAAATTGGGGGTGAGGGGGACCTGGTTGGCTCAGTCGGTTAAGCCCCCGACTTCAACTCAGGTCATGATCTCGTAGTTTGTGAGTTTGAGCCCTACATCCAGCTCTCTGCTCTCAACACAGAGCCTGCTTCAAATCTTGTCTTCCTCTCTCTCTCTCTCTCTCAAAAACAAAGATTAAGAAAAAAAAATTTTTTTTAATTAAAATAATTCTGGTGTATCTCACCAGAGGAATTCAGCATAAAATTCTTTGGTCAGTAGGGGCACCTGAATGGCTCAGTCAGTTAAGCATCCGACTACTGCTCAGGTCATGATCTCATGGTTAGTGAGTTCAAGCCCCCAAGTTAGGCTCTGTGCTGACAGCTCAGAGCCTGAAGCCTGCTTCGGATTCTGTGTCTCCCTCTTTCTTTGCTCATCCCCTGCTCGCTCTCTCTCTCTCTCTCTCTCTCTCCTCTCTCAAAAATAAACTTAAAAAAAATTAAAATCTTTGGTTTCCAGTTTTAATCTGGGAGGCTTGCTTAGGAGAAAGTACCAAACTAATAAGATACTGTTTCAAAAATTTTTTTATGAGAACAAGGTAGAGGTATACTATACAAATACAACAGAGGACCATGTAATAAAAGTATTTTTCATATTAAATGATCTTTCTGCATCAGCCTCAAATTGCATTATAAAGAGGCTTTACAGGAGGGGTTCTTAAATTTGAGCTTCTTGGTGTCTATAACCCACCTGAATTGTAACAAAATTCAATAAAAATATCCATTTTTCTTCAGCTTTCTGTAAAGTCCTGAAAATATCTGTAATAGCCCAGAAAAGAATAAGGACCCCTTCTCTTACTGTAGTCCTTAGTGACTGCAGCTTTTGATTCTGTGCTTTAGTTTCCACCAAATGCGTTCATGTTTCTATCTTATATATTCACAAAACATATTTAAATGGTTTAACTCATTCTTCTCAACACTCAGAGAACACCAGACTGTTTCTTTTTTCCTCTATAAAATGGTTTTTTCAACTCGACAACATATGCCACAACTTGAGAGAGTCTTTTGGCCCCCACAGAATTTCATATAAAAACAGAAGCTTTTCTGGAGGCAATGGTGAAGAGCATAGAAGTCTTTGATTACAAACGTAAGCAGGGTGGGGTACCCGGCTGGCTTAGTCAGTGAGTTGCAACTTTTGATCTTGGGGTCATGAGTTCGAGCCCCATGTTGGGTGTAGAGATTACTAAAATAAATAAACTTAAAAAAAAAACACAAAACATAAGGGCGCTTGGGTGGCTCAGTCAGTTAAGCATCTGACTCTTGATTTCAGCTCAGGTCATTCTCACAATTGTGAGATCAAGCCCCACACTGAGCTCTACACTAAGTGTGGAGCCTGCTTGCACTCTTTCTCTCTCTCTCTTTCAAAAATATATAAACATTGGGGTGACTGGGTGGTTCAGTCAGTTAAGCATCTGACTTTGGCTGATGTCATGATCTTGCAGTTCCTGAGTTCAAGCCCCGCATTGGGCTCTACGCTGCTTCGGATCCTCTGTCTCCCCCTCTCTCTGCCCCTCCCCTGCTCCCACATGCACACCCGCTTTAAAAAATAAACATTAAAAATATATATAGAGGCACCTGGGTGGCTCACTCAGTTAACCATCCAACTCTTCTTTGGCTCAGGTCATGATTGCACAGTTCGTGAGTTTGAGACTCACACCAGGCTCTGCGCTGACAGCAGAGAGTCTGCTTGGGATTCTCTCTCTTTCCCTCTCTCTCCCTCTCTCTCTCCCTTGCTCATGTTCTCTCTCAAAATAAATAAATAAACTTAAAAAAAATAAAATGACAGACAAAAAAAAAAGTAGTGCCGACTCACAAGGATTTAAGATAAAAAAAAAAAAAGCAAGTTCTATACTTTCTACTGACTTAAAAAAATACAACTGTCAACTGCACAGTCTGGGGCCTTATGCAGAGATACCTCTGTTGCTTTGCTCTTGGAGACCTGGGATGTTGTATTATCCTCACTCTCCTCAGCTGTGCTCTCCTGGGAATTCTGGGATAGTATCTCTTCACCCTAAATGCAGATGGGCCAAGAAAAACGGTGGGTTACAATAAACATATTTGGGGGCTCAAGGTGAGAAAGGCTTGGTTTGTAGATAACACAAGATATTCTAGCCATTCAAACATGGTCAAATACAGACACCAAACTGTGATCTAGTACCTAAAGAAGTGATAATCACACTCTGAGGTAAGTGTGGCTCCCATATAATATGTAGTTTTATAAGAAGTCTATTGTTGCATTCTAGTATCACACTAGATTTTACAAGGCCAGGACATACTGGTGACTCATTTAATGTTGAGTATCATTCTAAAATTTCCCAAATACCTTAAGGTATATGACCACCAACACACCAACTACAAATGGCCATGTAGAAGCTGAAACACCGCATACAAAGTGGTTTAAAGACATCAGCTTTTCATCATTTCTGTTTAGACTCAAATCCTGGCACCTCTCACTTACCGCTAAATGACTTTAGGTAAGCTACTTAACCTCTCTGAGCTTTACTCTCCTAAGGGAAACGACAGTATTGTTTTATTATAGTATTTTGTTTAATAGTATTGTGCAAGAGGCACCTGGGTGGCTCAGTTGGTTAAATATCTGACTCTTGGTTATGGCTCCAGTCATGACCTCACGGTTTCTGAGTTTGAGCCTCATACTGGGCTCTGCACTACCAGGGCGGAGCTTGTTAGGGGTTCTGTTTCCCTCTC